CCTCCAAACCGTATGCCAATTATCAAGGCCCGTAAATTGTGCTGAGGATATCATGTGCACATCACTTCCCTTTACCCCTTATGAGAAACTCGTTAGCAACAGATCCTGAGAAAAGGAGAACATAAAAACAAAACGGTCACAGACGTGACCTGACCACATGCCGGGCTTTGTTCAAACGACACTTCTAGCCTTAAACAAGGACACTCAGAGTAACAATTATGGTGGCCCTAATAGCCCCTGAAGCCTCAAGCCTTAACAGCATGGCAAACCTTGTGCTTTGTGTTGAGCTTTGAGTCTGGAGTCTTTTGATTGTTCGGATGTAGCAATGGCGTGCTGGGTTCAAGGCTCAGGGCTAGAGCGCAGCAGAGAAGTTTGCTCAGTTTGGCTTGGTGCTTGGGGTAGTGGGAGCTTGTGGAGAATTTGTGGGATGACCATAACCCTAAACCTTAAACCCTAAACCCTAAGCCCTAAACCACTACTTGAGACAACTTACCCTCACTAGTTTCCACGATCCGTCAAAGAGCCAAGCTTCAGGCGGCCATGAAACCAAGAAAGCCCGAGCTTCGGAACCCGAAAGCTGTCGAAGATGTGCTAAGGGAGCCAGTTTTGAGTGCTATCTGTGCCCGAAACCGCCCCGAGAGTGTAGCCTGTCAGGCTACGACTGAGGAGCCTGAGGCATGTTAAAGCCCTAAGTGGAGAAGGTTGCATGATGGTGGCTCAGAGGTGCCCGAGATTCATGGAGGCTCCGTCATGACCTTTGGCAAGCATCGTGGGCACTGCTGGCACGATTGTCCGGAATGCTGAGGCTGACGTGTTCATACCATTCCTAAGCACGTTCTCATGCAATCACTAGCCGACAAGCATCATGGCTTTTACTTTGGCAGTATACGAAGACGAATGACACTCAACGAGAATCACCGATTACAAACGTGAGTCATAGCGCGGCGTCTTGCTGGAAGTAGTGCATCGTTGGAATCATTAGCTTGAGTGGTGTACATGAATTCGAATGCCTGCTGCGTTCAAGCTTGCTAGATACCTATAGTCTCCATTGAAGTTCCTCTTTCCCAGTATATATTAAGGATCCTATAAGCCTACAAGGTATCCCCAACAAGGAACTACAATGGTTAGGTAGACTCCCTTCCTAAACCCTAAACCCTAAAAAGACGACCTTCCTTATTAAAGAACTCTCTCTCTCTCTCTCTCTCTCTATATATATATATATATTATGGAAACCATAATTTGGAACCCGAAAAATTTGCCGTACCTAGTTGTGGTTTGTTTGCCAGGTCATCCTGGTGATTGCAGGGCTTCGGCAGGTCCAGGCTTCAACCTGTTTACTTCTTAAGTTGAGACTTAGGGTTAGGGTTTATGAGGGATATTGGCTTCTTAAAATAAGACTTAACCCTAAACCTTTATAGAAACTAAAGGCCTCCAAAACATCATCACAAAGCGTCAGCCTCGAAATCTAAGATCCGAAGTCTCAGCCCGGGCAATCCGAGAATCTTCACAGTCACAGATCAGGAAGCAAACCTAGCACGCCGGAACAAGAAGACCGACCTAGCATTGATTGACAGGCGAAACACTGTTCCTGATGTCTAAAGCAAGACATGCACAAAGCTAGAATTAGATGGGACGTTTTAGTACTTGGTGGCAGCCTGCAGCACCACCATCAGGAGCCGTAGCAGTAGTCAGTAGCAGCAGTTGCATTGGCAGCAGCAGCAGGAGCAATCTGTGAAGCGGAGCAGCAAGAGTAGGCGCAGGCGTACCGAGCAGGTGAATCAAAAATGCCAGCTGAAAAGGAGTCAAAGCAACAATGCTCAAATTCGATTGCGGGACCTAAGCCCTGAAGCCTGAACTCTAAGTTAAGTGGCCGTGGCAGGCGCACTTTCGAGGATGTTCGACTCACCGAGTCGGCTTATTGCGTGCGACACCCGGGTGCTCTCTTGGGTTTCTTCCTGGCAATATGAGAATATATATATATACATATATATATATACATACATACATATATATATATATTTATATTTATGTGTAAGCATATCGGTTTGTTTATTTTTAGTAGTAGGAGCTCATGGGGTCTGTTGTTCGGAACGGAGGCTCAGCGAGATTGGCTAGGGGTTTTCCAGCGCAGAGCGCAGAAGGCCCGAGTTACACCTGGAGTAACATAGAGCCCTGATTAATCACCGATACTAGTCCTTATTAGGGTTCCTTAGCTACAACTACTATGAAAATTGTACAATGCGCCCCTCCCCTCCCCCCCCCCCCCTTCCCCCTCCCCGCCCCGCTCTTCCGCCGAAAAAAATCGGGTGAACGCCCGGTATTTGATGGTCACAGCACAACACCCGTCCAGGCGTGGGCGCTCGCACAGCCGACTCCTTCCGGAGACACGTCCTCAGCGATCCCGAGAGGGATGCTTCGTAACCGGTATAATCTCTGGAATCTCTGTCAATGTGCGATAGTTCATAGTAGCTGTATGCGCGACAGCAGACTGCACCACTCATTGGTGTCATCAACACCTACATCTTCAACTCTACGGCCCCAGACTCTAAAGCCAGTGATTCAGAAACAAGAAGGATGCTGATGTTCATGCCTCGCTTTCGCCAAGATGGTTGAGCTCTGTTGCAGTCCTAAGCACTCCTACGACACTAGGGTTCCATTGCGACGGGTCTACTTGTCTGTTTTGAATTAAAAGCAGTTTCGGTTTTACGCGAAAGCAGTTTTAATTAAACACACATTTCGGAACCCTCAGGTTTCCAAAGACTCTCCAGGAACAGAGGATCCTTCAACAACTAAGGAACATATTTCCCAAAACCATGCTGTGTTCAAGCCTCCGGCACCCACTCATGCTATCCAAACCCTTTCAACAGTTAAGCAAATCGAATTAAGGGGGCATTCGGGGTTTCGGTCTCAAGATTGCCTGACCTTATTGCAGCCCCATTGCCGAGGGTCTGATCCAGTTCGTCCATTTCCTCAAACAGTTCGACGCCCCACGGCCGGATGCCCAAGAGGATCGGGATAAAGAGTTCCAGGTTCCTGTGTAGGGTGATGTGAGGTCTTTGTGTGAGTGTACTTTAAATTTTGAGTTTGGGCTGTCTTGCGCCTTGCGATCTGTTCAGGGACAGGGTGGGAAAGCTTTGGTTTTGGGCCCAGGGGCTTCCTCACCCATGTTTTCGATTCACGATTTAGGGCTTTGTGGCTGTATCCTTCAACGATGACACAGCGCAGGCATCGCTGTGTTAAGATTTGTCGCACGCGCTTTAGGGCACAGGGGACAAAGGTTTGGCTTCTGGTACACACAGGTCAGCATTACTTTCAGTGCAGCGTTTGTGGTTTGGGTTTTTGGGGTGATCACTGCACTGCGCACTATGTTCTGGAAGCACAGGTATGTACATTGCCATCAGCACCACATGCGACCGCCTCTTTTCCTTCATGCACGGACCCGGAACCTGGAACCCTAAACCCCTAACCCCTAAACCCGTAATGTGGCCCGAAAGACCTATACCTTTTTAACGAACTCTATATGGAAACCATAACAAGGAACCCTAAAAAGGTAGGTCTTTTCGGCTACAGGTAAACCCAAACTTCGAGGCCCGAAGCCCTATAACCCCTAAACCCGACAACTCCTAGCTTGGCTCTTTCAGTCGCCCCCGAGGTTGCCAGCAACTCCACAGAAGAAGAAGCGTGCCTTTGCCGAGAAAATCCGAGCTTGTTGTTCGCTTGAGTCTGTACTGTTCATGCTACCAGCTAGCGTCTCGAAAGGCCGAGCTTTCTACTTCAAGTGTGTGTGTGTGTGGGCAATGTTGAGTCACAGGAATGAAGACTGGTCTGGCTTTGGGTTGGCATCGACTGGGTTTAGCAGTGTAGCACGTTGCCCAGGCGATTCCGACAGTTGGACAGCGCTCAGGCTACTTCGAAGGGACCTGAAGCCCTAAACTCCCAAACTCTAGGCCAAAAGCTCTGAACCCCTACACCCCTGAACCCTAAACCCTAAACCCCTAGACCCCAAACCCCTAAACCGCGGAAACCCCAAACTTGAAAGCCATTTGGGATCTTCCAGCTGCAGAACTTAGTAAGCCCTATGCAGCCATCCTGAAGGACCAAAAGACCCTTAAAAATAAAGGCCCTGTATCCTTATACTATGATTCCCTATATGGTGTATGAACCCTAAACCCTTTTAGGGTTCATGTCGTCCTTAAGGTATGCAGCCATGTTGCCAGATCTGCGTTAGGACATCCCGGTCGCAGACAACCCCTGATCTTCTGGCTCTGGTCCCTGAACCCTAACCCTAACCCTCCAGGTACCTACTTTTGTTGGGGCCCTAGGGGCTCTAGTACCCTATATGGTAGGTACCTGGGTGTTTTGGGTAACATGCGAAATTCGGGGATTTAAAATTTAGGAGTTAAGATAAAATCCAGAATTTACGTTCATGGTTTCCACGGGGTTATAGTGGGCGAAAGGTAAGGGAGGATTTGGTGCAGAGTTCCACAGTCACAGAGCTCCGTATGACCACATCGAAGTAGACTGGGCGGATGACCTTTGACGTTTAATGTAGAAGCCGGAATAGTTGCCAACATTATTCCTTAAGGGTTCTGTATTCCGTATTCTAGTTGTAAAGAGTGTAATTTACCCCCCAAACCTAATCCAATTATTCAGGCCCCGATGATGAAGCCTTCTCGTCATGGAGCAAGAAGAGGGGGATGGCCTGCTGTATCCCACCTCATGACTGATGACGAAATGCCTAAGCAATGCTCGTGAGGATATCAACACGGACAAGCCCCCAGCCCCAGCAGCATGGGACTGGAAACCTCAGGCAGCGCAGCCCTTCCACCGAGCGATTGGGTCAATATGAGCCAATCATGGTTCTCCTCGTCAGTGGGTTTCATCTGCGATGATTGCTGATACTAGTTAGCTACTAGTTACTGCAAGCCTATTAAGCATTCATCTCACCCTGGTTTCCCTACCGGTGCAGAATGGTAGGTGGCACCCCTTCCGACACCAAGGTGCTGCCAAACCAGAAGCAGCGCCAGCTCCAGCGTGGCCCCAAGGGCACGCCCAGCTTCAGGTGGCCACGGCCCCAGCCAACCCGACCTTCGGCCGCTGGGGAGCCAGCGGCCTGCAGCCTCCGAACTCGGAAAGCGGTTGCCTTCAGGGCGTCTCGGACCTCCACTGGAGTCTGCCCCAACAGAGTCAGCGCACCTGCAACATGCAAGCTCATCCAAGACCAATTTCGGCCACGGACTGGCACCGTCCCGGGCAGTTTACCTCAGGACATTACCAGCCAGCATCCCAGAGCAGTTGGATAGACCACAATGGGCCCGGAGCGCAGGGCCTGCAGGGCCCTCAAAGCCTACTCAGCAGAACCTGGTGCTCTCCGAGCCAAGGAGGGTACAATAACATGATGGAATCGGCCGACCCGTGCCGGAACCCAACCCCACCCCAAATCCTTAATGTTGGCAACTCGCCCGTGGCGGCGGTGCCCCACGGAGCACAGTGGCAGCAACAGGGCCACGCTCACGGCTTTCAGCCGTCGATGCCGCTTAACGGCACAAGAGCCCTCGCCCTCTGTCCCGAACATCTCCCCCCTCAGAACCCGAAAACCCAGACTTTTCCCCCACAATCCTTCCCTTCCCATCCGCTCATCCGAGCCGAAACCCCGAGCCCCCGCAACCCCCCACCATCGGCGCCGAGCCGCAAGCGGACCTGGACCGAGGTGAGCTTCCCGAGGCTGGGGATCGCCGGAGCCATGTTCAGGAAGTTCAGGAGCTTTAGGGTTTAGGGGGTTTAGCGTTTAGTGGTTTAGGCGGTTTGAGGGTTTAGGGTTTGGGGGTTGTTTTTGTGGGAGGAGGCGGGGTGTTTTTGTAGGATCACGAAAAGTGCACTTTCAGGGAATGGACTTGTTGCTCAAGAGTGTTCGTCAACCGTTGAAAGGGCCAAGCTGGCTAGCCCAAGACCACAGGCGAGAGCACATCGGTTCCTCACCCCACTAGACCTTCAGGCTAAGAGGCTGAGGGTGCATAATACGTGTAGAAGAAAAATACCGCCCCTTAGGTTTCCTTATAATACTACTATCAAATACCCCATGGCATACGTATTGCAATACATACTATGATATAGCCATAACACACCCCAGCATTCTATTCCCGTTAGTTACTGGGGGCTTGCCTTCGTTGTGGCAGGCCCGAGGCTTTCCATTGCTCCTTTTATCACCCGAACCATCTGGGGCCTAGGGTTTAGGGTCTAGGGTTTGGGGTTGAGGGGATTAGGGTCTAGGGTCTAGGGTTTAGGGTTTAGGGTTTATATAGGGTTTAGGGTTTAGGGTATATGGGGTTTAGGGTAGACTACCTGTAGAAATGCAGCAAAAATGCGAAGTCAAGCCGCCTCCTCAGATGCAGGCAGCCTTCCACGACAAAGCCGCATGGAGGCGGCCCACGCCTAGTTCGAGGGTTTAGGGTTTAGGGTTTTCGGGTTTTAGGGGTTTAGGGTTTCGGGTTTAGGGTTTAGGGGTTTATAAGGTTTAGGGTCGACGCGCGAAATCGTAGAGATATCTTCAGAGCAGACGCCGTCGAAGAATGGCCAGGGAATCCCTCAAATCAAGAATCAGGGGAATCGACAAAGACCAGGCTCGACACATATGGGTTTTTGGGAGCTATAATGTTTTTGTACATTATAAATGTATCAGATGGTATTGTACTGCACAGTATGCTCGCCTTCGGCGCGAGTGTTTCGGAAGAGTCCTTGTTCATGATGCGCTTTAGGTGCAATCCCCCCCGATCTCTGAAGATGCTGCTTGCTTGGGGTTGGGGGCTGCGGATCCGAAAAGGAACCGAATCATGTATCTGCAGCTTTGCTTCCACACTGTCAGGCACTAGGCCATGCTCGGCCTCAAAGAGGACAAGAACTCATGCGAAAAAAAGCAAAACCGAAGCTGAGTCGTGGAAAGCTTCCTGCAGGCCGCGACCACTTCGATGATATTCGGAAGTGGGCCGGGGACTCGGGAGGAGGGTTTCAAGCCCGGGTTTGTGGGGTTTCGTTGCAGGGCTTGAGGGCTTTTGGGAATGGCGCTTGGGATTGTTAGGGTCCTGGACACGTTTTTTCGTTTAATTTAGTTTGGACTTTTAGGGTTTAGGGTTTGGCGATTAGAAGGCCCGGGCTTCAGATCGGGTAATAGAGCTTTCGTGACGATTTCACTGCACCGGGACCAGGGATTCGGAGGTCGGGATCAGGTTTGGGCGCCTGGGGATTACGGCTGATAAGCTAAACCCTAAACCCTAAGCCCTAAACCCAAACCCTAAACCCTAAACCCTATTGAGGTTCCCGGCGGGATGCTTAGGAGTTTGGGGTCGGGCGCAAGTACTCAGATCCAAGACGGGTGCTGAATATTTTCGAGCGAAGGGGTTCTGTACAGTTCTGCACGAAAGTGCCTGGCCGTGCAGAGCATAGCAGGGCACACGTGTTGCGGGGGCTCGCTTCCCACGTCCAGTCAGTGTCTGTTCGGAGCCCATAAGCTATGGTGGAGGCTAGAAAGGACCTGCAAGCACAGCGGATGGGTTGACACAACCATACACAAGTCTGAACATGATCTGTCGACATATGACATTTGGTACTAAAGCTCGTTTGGGAAGGCATGTGAGACCAGCACACCGCAGGCCCTGGCATGAACAGGCGCAGTGGGGATTCCGTGTTTCTCGAGAGGAAGAGGAGCTTTTTAAAGAGCAACTCCCCAAACCCTAAACCTCTCCAAACTCGGCGCCTGCAAGCCCAGATCATCAAGAAGCCCTTCGATTAGATGGCCGGAGTGCTCAGAACGTCAGCTCCGGAAGCAGATCTCAGGTCGATTCCGTCGAAGATCTTGGGGGGTTTTGGGATGTACAGTATTGGTTGCTGGCTTTGTGTCGATGCATACTCGGGCGACGTTCATGAACGGCGTGAGATCCTTCTGAGTCGAATGACTGTAGGGTGTCCGGATGGCTTTTCGGGTTCGAGGCATTGCTTCCCAGGCTTTTCGTTGACTTCCCATGTCTCTTCTGGACAGTCTTGAGGACGGAAGGAGGCTCCAGTCAGCCTATAGTTACTAGTTACCGGTCTGGGATAATTGTTGAATTCCCCTTGTTCTTTAATCTAGAGCCCTAACTTGCAATAGTTTTGGGGACTACCTCCATAACTGTAACCCTAGACTCTAAACCTCAAACCCTAAACGACTCGACATCCAGGCGCAGACAGACGGTAAGTCCTCTTTTTCATCCAAACTCGTCTCAGGTTGCTGCCCTGCCCCATTCGCGGGAGGCGGCACCCAGAAGACCTCGACACAGACGCGAGAGGAACAAGAGCATCCCCCCGGGGGCAGGATTCAAGAGTCCCGGATTGCGGGGCGCAGCCGTGTTGTGGTTAAGGGCGTATGTAGGGCTGCTGGCGAGTCAACCTCATGTCTTTAGTCTAGATGTTGTAATTTCTAAGCAGGAAAAGCAGCTCAGGATGTATTTCGATCGAAGTGGCGGGATCCGCATTCAGGCCTAAACCCTAAACCATGAAAACCCTAAACCCGAAGTCGTGAAAACGAAGTAAGACGCTGGAACCCCCGAGAGTCTCAAGCTGGCCTCCACTCGAAAACAGCGAAGGGGAAGATGGGTGCTGTTCGAGTTCATGCTTCGCTTGATTGCAAGTCCGTCTTGAATTTGGCATGTCCTGAGACAAGTCATTAAATCGAAACGCCCCAAATACAACTCCCTAACCCTGCACCCCAAAAAACTTTAACCCAAAGCCCTGAACCCTGAACCCCCTCGAACCCCAAGCGCCGTGCCCTAAACCATATACATCGAGACGATCGTCATGACAGGCAGTCAATGCTTTTGCGGCTGCCCCCTGGGCTCTCGCATTGTCCTAAGATGGGTTTCTTTTAGCCGCATGCCCTCCAGACTGGGCGCGCCTAGAAGGCTTGATGTGGTTGATATATGATGTGAGTAGTTCTCTACATTAGGGTCCGTGTTAGGGTCTCTATTATAAGGATGCCGTAGTATATTGGGGACCTAAAAGGGGGCGGCATCTGAAGCTGCTGCAGCTTGTTTAGGGATTAGGCTTGAGAGTTTAGGGTGTATAGGGTTTAGGGTTGGGAGTTTTGGGTTTAGGGTTTAGGGTTGAGAGTTCAGGGTTAACGGTTTGGTGTTTAGGGTTTAGGGTTTGGGGTTTCGGGATTGTGTTAAGCTGCTTGATACGATGCCAGTCCAGAGCTCTACACACTGCCAGACTCAACTACTTGGAGGTTCATGGGTAGTTATAAGTGGGGTTCCTTTAAAGGATTCCATAGGGCTTCTAGGGCTTAGGGTTTAGGGGTAGTTATAAGTGGGGTTATAAGTAGGGTAACTATAGTTATAATCCATATTAGGGGACTTATGACCACACTTACAACTACCCATGAACCTCCAAGTCTGCACCTTTCCAAACCCAGGCAGAGGCAGCTGTTCCAGTACATGGCTCACATCGTCAAGGCTTCTGCTGTCTGTGTTGTCTTTTCCGAGTTCTAGGGATTCTAGGGTCTAGGGTCTGGGGTTCGGGCTCGCTGTTTTGTGGTTCTGGGTTTTGTCATATTTTCGAGGTTTGGGGCCAGGGGTAAAGAGCTTCAGGTTCTTGGTTTTTTGGGCTTGATTCTTTTAGTGAGTTCAGGGTTTTCTCGTGGCGGTAGCACATCCAACAAGCTCCAGTCAGCACGTCTGAACCCTGGACCCCAAACCCTAAGCCTTAAGTTAAACCCCGAACCCCCAACCCTAAACCCTAACCCTGAACCCTAAACCCCAAACCCTCATGCGGAGAAAGGGTCACTGCACTTTAAAAACACCGTAACCCTGAACCCAAAACCCTAAGCCCTATAAGACCTAAACCTTAAATCCTCAGCCCTAAACCCTAAACCCTAAACCCTAAACCCAAATCTCAACCCTTAGGCCCTAAACCTCCCTGAACCTTAAACCCCAACCCTACAACCCCAACCCTGAACCCGAACACCTGATTCCCAGCAGTCTCGAGGCGCAAGAGGGCAACGACGTGCAGATCTTTGCTGGCACCGGCTCTGCCCTGGAGGCGGCTTTAGGGGTAATAGGGGTGTTTTAGGGGTTTTAGGGGTTTAGGGTTTAGGCTTTAAGGTTTTAGGGTTTAGGGTTTAGGGTTTTCAGGGGTTTAGGGTTTGGGGTTTAGGCTTTAAGGTTTAGGGTTCAGGGTTTAGGGGGGTTGAAGGTGTAGGGCTTCGCACGTGTAGGGTTTGATGTAGGGCTTCTTAGGGTTCGGGGGTTCAAAAACTTTCTGTCCGTGTTCATGGAACTCCGTGAACATACGCTTTCTGAATGTGGGCGGCAGATGCTCATCCGCAGCCTTCAGGATATGAGCAGCATAAAGAGGGTTCATGGGGAGCGTTGTTGGAGATGTCTCAGTTACCCAAAACCCTAAACCCTTTGCCATGCAAAAGGCGACTTCATGATCCTGCACCCAAAACCTCTGACCTAATCCGCATGAGAAAAAAAAGGTTACATGGCTTGCAACTCACGAGTGAAACCCGGGCGATGCGTTTCGGAAGCTCCTTTCTTGGCAGACGGGGAGCCGAAATACTCGATGCATTCGCAGGAGTTGGCTTCTACTCACCATGTTAAAGCTCAGGACCTGGCTCAACAGCAGCGGCTGGTTTCTGAGCTCAGCGCTCCACTGTCGAGACCTATACAGATTCTTAGAGCTCATATATACTA